GGTTATGCTGAGGCCCCCAACATTTTTATATCTATCATATTTAGTGTGTTGTGATCAGGTTGTGTTCTGATCTGATACTTCATACCTTGTAAAACAATAATTTTGTTGTTGTTTTTGTTGCCTAGAAAGACTTCATTTCACAAGCAAGTTTCGACTCTATTTTGAAGATGGAGGGTGACTGTGGACTTGGGTGGACACATGAACAGCACCATGTGTCTGTCACTACCCTATCAGCACAGACTGATGAGTAATTTACTATTTCTAGAAAGTATGTCACCCTGTTAACTTATTTGGGTGAATTAGTAGTTTTGGGATACGTGATCATGTTGAAATCATATGAGGAAAAGCAAGCCCTAAATTTATTAGACAAATAAGACCAAGGGAGAGGTATAACTTCCTTACCTGGACACCATATCAAGACAGACTCCAGCAATATGATGGTGGGAGCCCCACTGATCTGTCATTTAACTTCATAGTATTTGCACTGTGAATGAAACCTACTACAATAAGCTGTATCTGCAGAGACTGATTGACTGATTACAAGTTCAGTACTTTTGAGAGATGTTGGAATGTTACAGGTCCAAGACTAATTACTTTATCTTTCCACCTGACTTCCACGGGGACCTCTTATAGGTAGGGAAAGATAAGGTAGCTGTAGACCTTCCAAACAGGAGAGTCTTTAAGTCCTATTTGTGTGTGGCTGCCTCAGTAGCCTAGTTCAAACTCTTATGCTCTCTGGTTAATAATTACAAATGTCCATTTCAACAGTCCAGAAGTACTTCCATGGCTACAACAGGAGGAAGGAAGAAACTTCAAGGCACACACACCCTTGTGGTATGAATTATGACTTTAATAGCATTTTAATAAATTATTTCATTTTATATATAATTAAAAAATAGAAATAGTCATTATTCCTTCAGAAACCTTAATGAACTCATAAGTTCCATAACCCCAACATCAATTTGGGGGTCCAGCAGTCTAGGAATTTGATTTAGTTTCCTTTCTCCAACTCTTCCTCTCTTTTCTCAATACCCTTCAGCCTATCTCTTCTGGTATGTGGAGTGAATTTGAGGTGCATTTCACCCCTTCTTCTTTTCTTTACACTTTCCTACTCCAGCATCACAATCTGGGGACAACACAGAGGCAGTGACTGACTGGGGACAGTGTGATTCCCATTCTGAACTTCAGGCTCAGCTTCTCACTGACTGGGTGCTTGAAGGTAAAGTTTTGCAAAAGAGCAGTGAAGAAAATGAACAGCTCAAACCTGACCAGTTGTTCTCCCAGGCAGGCTCTCTTTCCTGTGAGACAAAAAGAGAAGTCAGCTGGCTTTGGTGCACCTAGGGACTGGTGTTCCCAGAAATCTACTGTAAATACTGAGCTGACCTTGGGCTTTGTGTCCAGCTTATTCTGTCTAACACCTTCCTGATTTGCCCACTTGAACGCCATTCATGCTGGCATTTCCTGACCTTGGCCAAACAATATGTCCCAGACTTGTGCTTTAGCTTCCCCAGCCAAGGAAATTGCTATTTTTCTCAGGTGTCCTGGTCCCTTGCTTTGAAAAATTTTTAAAGAGTAAGTCCTGAGTAGGTGACATTCTCACAACTCTGAAAGTCTTTGCTTTAGGTCACCTCACATCACACACATGTCACATGGTGTATATATCTAAGTGTGTGTATGGATATATACATTTCTGTCTACTTATCTGCAATCTGTATCTCTCTTGAATATCTGTCGTCACATGTGTAATCTCTGTGGATGATCTCTGATGATCCAAGACAACCCTCACATACCAAAAAAAAAATGCTAAGACCAGCATTCCGACAAAACTACGATTATTATTTGGACCTGTTTTCCACTGCCATCATGGGGTTTCCAACAAGGACATCGTCGCAGGAGTGATAACATATGACACTCTCTGCAGGATAATGTATAAGAAACTGCTTTGGTTTTTACTGACATTAATAATTGAGAAATTTCTGATGGTCACCTCTTTCCACTTTGTTACCTGCCTAATACAGGTTGTTGAAGAACTCAAACAAAAGCAGACTTCAAAAGTTACATAGCAAATATAAATGTGTTATGATGATGTCTGTATCTTATGCAACATCTGTGTTTTATGCCAACATCTCTCATTCATCTATGTTCTCCACATGTTCCTCCTGTTGCCTACCATGAATATCATGGCCAACAGCTCATTAAATCCTCAAGACTCTCCTTTAAGAATCCACATACCATGACATGCAAACTTCAGACTCGGTGTTATTAACCTGACCTGTCTGCACTTCGCTATGTGACTATGATGAAAGTCTCCTTGTTAAGAAGCTAAGCCTTCCACATGTGGTAGTTTTGTGAAACAGTCTCTCTTTTTTCATCTGTAAATTGCTGGGCAGGTGTGAGTTAGTTGTTCATTATGGAGCACGTGATTTAAAGCTTGGCATATGTGATGGATAATCTTGATTACAGTGATGGTTGATTGAGAATGTCCCACATAGACCCATGCATTCAAATGCTTAGTCACCAGGGAAGGAAACTCTTTTGGGAAGAATTAGGAGGTGTGGTCTTGATGGAGGAAGTATGTCACTGGAAGTGGGCCTTTAGGTTTCCAAAACTACATCAGTCCAATCTCTCTCTCTCTCTCTCTCTCTCTCTCTCTCTCTCTCTCTCTCTCTCTCTCTCTCTTCCTGCAGATCAGGATGTAAAGCTCTCAGATACTCCCCCAGGGCCATGCCTGTGTGCTTTTTGCCATGCTGAATATGGACTAATTCTCTAAAACTGTAAGCAAGCTTGTAATTAAGTGCTTTCTTTTGTAAGAGTTGCCTTGCTCTGTAGATTAGCTCATGGAAAATCATGAACTCTACACCAGCAGCTGTGGAGCCTACATGGGACCCAAACAAGGTCCTCTGCATGTGGCATACAGTTGTGTAGCTTGGTCTATTTGAGGGCATCCTGGCAGTCAGACCAGGATCTATCCCTGGTACACATGCCAGCCTCTTGGAGCCTATTCACTATGGAGGGATGTCATGCTCAGCATTGATGCAGTGGGAAGTGGCTTGGTCCTGCCTCAACTTAATGTGCCAGTCTTTGTTGACTGTCCATGGGAGCCTTGCCCTTAGGGAAGAGTGGATGAAGGGTGGTCCTGGGGGAGATGATGGGGGGAAGGGGTGGGAGGGGTGGGAGGGAGAACTGTGGTTGGAATGTAAAATGAATGATAAATAAATAAATAAATAAATAAGTGTTGCCTTAATCATGGTGTGTATTCACCGCAGCAGAACAGTAGTAAAGTCAGTGACCATCTCGACCAAGAGATGCCTAGAAATCCAAGTTTGTCTGTCATTTCAGAGATGCCTGCCATGAGGGTCATTGAAGTGAGAAGGAAGACCTGTCCTGAGCAGGGGTGACAGCATCCAGTTGGTCTGCATTTGACGCTTGGTAAGCCTGACTCTTCCTGAGCCCCTGTGACTTTCTTGCTGTGTCTGCTCATGACCTTCACACTCCAGCTCTCTCCAGCTCTGCAGGAGACTTTCAGGTAAATCCTTCTTATCTTTAGACTTTCAGGTTTTTTAGACTTGGAAGCCACAAGTTAACGTATTTCTCTTCCTCTCCAAGTTCCCAAGCGCCATTTTATCATCTTGTACCCGTGACTGTGTAAATAATGCCAGTAATATTAATACACTGTTGGCAGAGTCTTTCCATGTTGATATCAGAGCTCATGATACTGATGAAAAAAATTCTTCTTCCATTTTTCCTTTTACCGCTCTCTCTCAATCCTGATTTATCTCTACTAAGGGTCTTTTAACTATGGGAATTTCTAGCCTTGAGTACATTTTCCTTTGTGTTATAATAAAGCACACTATGTAAGCCATGGGAACATACCAGTAAGCCTAACCCCTACATGGCCTGAGCTTCAGTTTCTGTCTCCATGTTTCTGCCTTGACTTCCTACCTTGTTTTCCTTCGGTGGTGGGCTGTGATAAGAAACGCAAGAGTAATAATCCCTTTCCTCCAGAAGTTACTTTCGGTTATAATTTTTATCACTTGAATAGACAACAGACTAAGAAATGGGATTTCAATGACTGAGGAAGATTGGAATTTTGGAACAATTGGTAGGGGAAAACCTATTCCTTTAGAGTCACCACCCCCAACCGTGGGCAGGGCGTCATAATCTGAAGCCTTCACTAACACATCTCGCATAGTGTCAGCGAAGGATACATCTCTTCAATGATGCACTGTCCGTGCTGATATCTGCTCTTACCCTGGAGATGACGGTTACTCAGCTGGAAAATGTGAATGGTATGACAGTATTCACCTAGGCCATGTAACTTGAATGTATGGAGTTTAGCTTTTGTTTATTTGTAGGCAAGACTTCATCAGCAAGTTTGGTTGCCACCCGTGGCACTATTGAATAGTGGTGGATTGTTAAGTAGGTGTCTGCCTAAGGTAGGCCATCTGAGCCATGCCCTGAAGGGATATTTGAAATTTGATTGCTTCCTTTCCTTGCTTCCTGGCCACCATGAGGCAGTCACTTTCTCCAGACACACACTTCCAAAAGATGCTCTGTCACACCTTGGGTGCAGGTCAATTGGCCACCAACTGAGACCTCTGAAACTAAGAGTCAATCCAAGCTTCCTCCTAAGAAGTTGTTCATCTCAGATACTGTTTCAGTGAGGAGGGCAGACTGACAGTCTGTGCTAAAGGCTCCTGATACACTTTCCCTTTCACCAGAAAAAGAAAAACCCAAACAGAAAAATGACCTATTAAGTAAAATAAGAGGGTTGACCTTGAGTATCACAAGTGGACTTCATTAACCCTGCCTTTGTGTTTTATGTCACCCCTTGTAAATTACAAATTTAATAGTATGAACTATCTTAATTTTACTTACATCAATATAATTATATAAATTGACGTTAATTATATTAATGAATAGAAGATATCTATTAATTTATTGACTCTAACAGAGAGCATAAATCAGGAGAACATGGGAAAGTGTGAATTAATTTTCTATCATTTGTGATAACAGTAATAATTGTACAATTGGTTATGTTTTCCAAAAGAAGAGAAGTTGATATCTACAGGGGTGTTGTCTTTGATTTCTAGAAATTCTGAAGGAAAGCAGTTACATGCCAAAGATAGGTTTGTGGCAGACACTCCAGACTGTTGTTTTGTCAACCCAGAGCATGCTTCAGATCTGCCTCTACTGGTCCTCATATGGCATCTCCAGGTAACTGAATTTCATTCACCTCTATCAGAAACATTGAAAGCAAAACATTTGGCTTTCTTCTTTCCTTAGATTCTTTTTATTTTTACTGGGACCTCACAGCTATTCCAAAGACTGTAGGTCTTTTACCACTCCTATACCTGGGGCTTCTCTAGTGGTTTTAGAGTTCACTAGAGTCATGTGGCAACAGTCCTAGCGCATTGTGCCAATTTCATGTGCTTCAATTCTGTTTCTTGGTATCTTAAGCAACACCATATGAAAGCCCAGGTTAATGTGTGTGGCAGGTTAAGAAAGAATAGCTAAGTCACTGATCTGACCTGGAAACTTCTGAGGATAATATGCTTTTTTAATTTATTTTTAATTGATATTTATTGAGCTCTACATTTTTCTCTGCTCCCCTCCTGCCTCTACCCTCCCTCTTAAACCATTCCCCAAGGTCCCCATGCTCCCAATTGACCCAGGAGATCTTGCCTTTTTATTCTTTCTACTTCCCATGTAGATAATATCTATTTAAGACTCTCTTAGTGTCTGCATTGTTGTCTAAGTTCTCTGAAATAGTGATTTGTAGGCTGGCTTTCTTTGCTTTATGTTTAAAAACCACCTATGAGTGAGTACATGTGATAATTGTCTTTCTGTGTCTGGGTTACCTCACTCAAAATAATGTTTTTTTTTTTAGATGCATCCATTTTCCTGCAAAATTTTAGCTGTTGTTATTTTTTTCTGCTGTGTAGTACTTCATTGTGTAAATTACCACATTTTTCTTTTCCATTCTTCTATCAAGGGAAATTTAGGTTGTTTCTAGGTTCTGCCTATGATAAACAAAGCTGCTATGAACATAGTTGAGTACATGGCCTTGTGACATGATTGGGCATCCTTTGGATATATACCCAAAAGTGGTATTATTGGGTATTTCTTGAGGAAAGTTGTTCCCTATTTTTTTTTTGAGAAATCGCCACACTTCCATCCAAAGGGGTTGTAGCAGCTTGCATTCCCACAAGCAATGCAGAAGTGTTCCCCTTTCCCCACAATCTCTGCAACATAAGTTGTCATCAGTGTTTTTGATATGGCCATTCTGACAGGTGTCAGAGGGAGTCTCAGAGTTGTTTTGATTTGCATTTTCTGATGACTAAGGATGTTAAACATTTCCTTAAGTGTCTTTCAGCCATTTTAGATTCCTCTGTTGAGAGTTCTCTGTTTAGGTCTGTACTCATTTTTTTTTATTGTATTATGTGATCTTTTGGTGTCAATTACTCGAGTTCTTTGTATATTTTATAGATCAGATCTCTGTCTGATGTGGGGTTGGTGAAGATGTTTTCCCATTCTGTAGGCTGTCATTTTGTATTTGCTGATGATAACGTTATTTACATAAGTGATCCCAAAAATTCTACCAAGGAAATCCTACAACTCATAAACACTTTCAGTAATGTATCATGATACAAGATTAACTCAAAAAATCAGTAGCCCTCCTGTACACAGATGATAAAAGGGCTGGGGAAAAAATCAGAGAATCAACACTCTTCACAATAGCCACAAATAGCATAAAATATCTCAGAGTAACTCTAACCAAACAGGTGGAAAACTTGTATGGCAAGAACTTTAAACCCTTGAAAAAAGAAACTGAAGAAGACATCAGAAAGTGGAAAGACCTCTCATGCAGCACAGACACTGAGAGAAACAATAAATGGGGCCTCCAGAAACTGTAAAGCTTCTGTAAAGCAAAAATAATATATTTCTTATAAAAATATAGTTTTGGATGTTTGTTTTACAGCAAGATTCTCACTAATAATAGGCCATGAACTCAGGGAATCCTAAAGTGGAAGGGCCTATAAATGGGAGGTCAGTTACCATGAGTATGTGATAGGGAAAGAACTAAAATAGGAGTGACAACTTAAACCTGACCTCTTCTGCCAGTTCCTTGTGCACAGGTTAAATAAGAAAAAGCTGTCCTCTTCGTTGAAGTTTGCTTATCTGATTAAATAGACGCTAATGTCCTTTTCCTACTGGATTACGAACAACCATGCTACCTTGGTGATTGTCTGTGATAATTTGTCTGCTAGTGAAACTTCTAATTAAGTAAAACAATTCTTAATACCAGAGTACCAGTGAGTCTCTGTGTGTTTCTGTTTGTATTTCATAGCTGGTGTGGATCGGAGAACATTTTTGTTGTTGTTGTTTTGGTTTTTGTTTTTTGAGACAGGATTTCTCTGTAGCTTTGGAGGCTGTCCTGGAACTAGCTCTTTTAGACCATTGTAGCCTCAAACTCACAGAGGTCTGCCTGCTTCTGCCTCCCAAGTGCTGGGATTAAAGGGGTGTGTCACCAACATTTTAAACTGAATATAAACTGACATAAAGCACCTATGGGGGAAAGATTTTGCAATATGAAGAGAATGCATATATGCAGCCTTCATTGGTCCTAAAGGATCATCTCCCTGTGAAAGCCATGGGGATCGACCAACATTCCTTTCATTGCAGTCCTAAGAATCAGCACATAACACTCTTACGTGGACTATATAAAGAGTCTTTTCCAGGCTTTCAGGATCTGATTTAATAACTAAGAATAAGCAGAATATATGAAACACATAGTTGAGATTTTGAACTGTAGTTCAGATCTTTCTAATGTTTGGTAATCAGGAAGACAGGACAGATGTCCGCTATTTTGTCAGCTTCGCTACTAAAGCGAAATGTGAAGGTCAACAAAGCTGACCTAGAAGGACAGGGAAAGGGAAAGAGAACAAGCTGGACACCATCAGTGAAGTCAAAATTCCATAGTGTGACTTCGGTGAGGCATTTGTCACCCTCTGCAGACAGTGTTACGAAACACAGCTTCTGTGTGAGGAAACCTGGTGGACACTGAGCTCCGGGAGAAGCACATTTGTCTAGGTCTGTGTCCTTTTCTCTGCAGGGCTCACTGATTCCAGCTTGAAGGCTGCAGTGGGACACATGTTCTAAGGGGCAGCTCTGTTTCTTCTTCCCCACTACTTTCATGATCTTAGGTGTGTGTTGGAAAAAGTACTACATACTTGATACTTATTTATGGAACTAAGGAACTGCAGAATTCTTTGAAAATGCATATACAATGCATAGAAACCAGCAACTGTAATATACTAGGGCATTTTGTTGTAGATTCAACAACTGTAAGGTTACAATATTCATTCTTAATTGGCTGGGTAGAAAACACAAGAGAGGATCATCACTACATCCTTTCCCTGATCATCATATTGAACAACATAAATATATCTAACTAGAATTTTAAAGTATGCTTAATATCTTAAAAGACTAAACATTTACTTGTCTAAGGAGTTCTTCTATTCGGTAGAACCTAATCCATTTATGTAAATGACAGTTAAAATTGTTTGATATTTTCATTGTAGTGAGTAGGTAGCCACCCTCCATGCCTCCTCCTCATCTCATTACAAGTCTGATATATTAACCTTTGAGAGCCTATCACTTAAGAATAATATGGACATTAAACTTTGAAAAGACATCATATATTAGCTTTCTTTGTGAAGAGAAAGCAGGGTTTGGGTCTCTAGTGCTATGGAATACCAACCAAGAGAAGCCAAAATTTCAGTCAGAGGCAAGGATGAGTGTGAGTGACAGGAGTGGCCAGAAGCTGTGCTATCTGAGAACACTGGCCTGCAAGCAACAGCACCTTACAGCTGCTCTGAGTGTGACTTATGGAGATATCCAAATGACAGTGGAGGTCTCTTGGGAGAAGAGAAAGGAAGGAATGAGGTAGGATTCTGACCTGCTTCCTCCCCATTACCACTCACCCATTGAGAAAGGCAGAAAGGATTCTCTCTTCTTAAATTCTCCATTCTCCAAAAAATCCTCTGGGTTGAAGGTGTCTGGGGTAGCCCTCTTTTTGTGGTTTATGTGTAGAGCCGTCAAATTGCTCAGGACCATGGTCCCCTAAAGAAGACAGCAAACAGTCAAGGCTTGAAACGTGGAAGAGACCCAGACAAGGGATGAGATTTCCAAGTTCCCATTACTTTTCACACTGACAGTTCCAAAAAAAATCCTGTTCTTAGTCCATATTCATGATGGGTTTTGTGTCCTTCGGATGTTCCAGTTCTATCAGTCTGCTCTTTATTATAGAATTCAGAACCGTGGGAACAGGTCAGCATGTGCCTAGGGAGACAACATGTACCATTCATGGAAAGATAACTGGACATGGGCTGAACAATCATCATCCTAGCTTCTTCCTACAGGGACATGTGAAGAAGTATCCTGTCACTGGGGTTAAATGAATGAATTGTATCTGTGTTTACAGATCTGTGTTGATCCAGCTCTGAAAACTTTTCAGGGGAACAATCCTTTCTGAGGCACTAAGACAAAGTGTTACAGATCCACAGAGGCCTTCTCTGGCAGACATTCTTGATTCTAGATCCTGGCAATTAATAATTGTCTAAGCAATTACAAAAGATTACCACTGAGACCAGCCATGAGGCCATTTATAGACATCATTAACTAATGGCAGGGACTTTCCCTGACTATTTGTCCCTATGCCCCATGCTCAAGTATTGTGTGGAATAAATGGGGTAGGGGTTAGCTTTTTAAAAACCTTCTTAGCAGGTTATTTTTTTTTTCCTGACTCTCATCACGAGGACTGATTTGATGAGCCACTTCCTTGTTGTCATGCTGAACTGAAACCTTGGGCATTTATTTTGTCACTGCCAAGAAGTGTCTGACCTTTGTTCATTAAACAGTGAGCAGAAAAAACAAACAGGATTGTGCCTTGAATAGAAGGAGTGTAATGTAGTCAGGAACGCAAAGAGGGATCCATGGAGAAAAGTATAAGAGAGATCTTTTGATGACTAAGTTAGCAAGTCCTGGGCAGTACAAATAACCTTAGTCCTGCATCTAAACTCTTCTGAGGCTGGATATTGCAGTGGAGAGATCTAGGTAATCTTAATTCCCAGAGTCTCAACCGTCTAGTGTTCAGAGTAGAGACCAAATCGCTATGGAAGGGATAATAAGCACCCTCAGCACATGTATGTTTGGCAAACATCTGTTCTTATCTCTTCCTTTCTTATAGTTTATGCTTCTTTTTTGACTGGTCAACAATGGGAGAGTATGCAAAAGCTGGAAAACACCAGTGAGCACAGATGTGGCAAAGAATTGCCACATTCTTGTGAGGTCACGTTAGCATTGGAGTATGTTAGGATAGCCTTCAGCTACTAAAGCCAACTTCTTGTTATTTGCTAAAATCTAAGTAGATTCCACCAAGAAACCTTCCTTTCTCTATTCTTTATGCACATAAACAGCATTTAGACACATTAGAGGGATGCTTCTTCTTCTTCTTCTTCTTTTTTTTTAAAGGAACAATATCTGTCTCTGTTTAATTGTTTTTTGGGTGCAAAAATACATGTTTATGTTTTAGATAATGTGAAGGACGGACAGGAACATTGGAACCCAGGAGTGTAAAGTTACCTTACGCAGATGGAAACCAGCCAGTGTGCTATCAGCTGTTACTTCCCTGGGAACATTTAAGGGGATGATGTTGCCCATCCTCTGCACCTCATGGATGACAGCATTGGTGTAGGGCATGGACTCTCGGTCAGCTGTGCTTGGCTGCCTCCCATGGTCAATCACTCTGTCAATCTCAGTGTGTACTTTTTCTGGAAAACAAAACAAAACAAAACAACAACAACAAAAAAACAGGGTGTGAGTGTGGTGGTGGGACTCTGCTGTTTTCAAAGATTAATGCTTTCTTCTGAAGGCAGAGAATTTGTCTCTAAGCTGTTATCTCCTGACATTTCACCTAGTATTTTGTCTACAAAGAGACACCATGTTCCCCAACTTCTCAAAGGACTGAGTTTGAAAACTGTCAACTCTAACTTTCTTTGTTCTTACAACATAGACATAGCTTTCCAGTGACCTTCAACTGAATAGCTGTTATCATTGTGGCTAAGCTCACAACAATATCCATGCAGGCAGGTTTCTGCAAATTGTTTTCTTTCACCTAGTGGTTTATAAAAAATAAAACCTTAATTTTCAGAGTTGGATAGTCTGGAAACCCACAATTCAGGCATCAGGATATTTCCTGTCTAAAAAGGATGAAGTTTCTGTCTCACAGACTGCAAAGCTTTACTGTATTCTAGTATCATACAGAGGAGGGAATCTCTTTGGTTCCCATTTTTAAAAGTAAAATTAGAAAGTATTCTAAGATTTTTATTTGTGTGTTCTTGCACATGTTTTCAAGTGCAAGAGTGGAGTCCATAGCACAGCTTGTAGGAGTCGGTTCTCTTCTCTGCTCTCTGCATGCTGGGGATTAAACTCAGATAGTCAGGCTTGCAGAGGGTACATTTAGCAGATGAACCATCTCTCTGGCCTGTCTGGTATCTCTTTTAAAGGCACTAATGAAGTTCACAAGGACAAACACCTCCTAACCCCACTCCATTAGTAATTAAGTTTCAAGAAAATACTTTATAAATGATACAAGCTTTAACTCACTGAATATCTGTAGACTGTGTTTTCTTAAGGAAATGTGTCAGAGTGGAAGGTACACTGCAAGCTATTATGACCTTTGTTGCTGCTGTAGCTACACACATTCTTCCAGGTTCAATTTCCTTATCTGTCCACTAAGAATAAGTAGACTTTAGTTTAAGAATGTTTTGATAATTACTCGAAATTATATTAACATAAGAAATAATTGAACCTGCTAGCAGTCCCCATATAGCGTCCTACTTTCTGTAGTAATAGTGATTGCACTACTATCCAGCTAAAATCTTAATTTCCTGAATTTCTTTTATAATAAATGTGAGCAGGTGACTATGTTCTGGCCAGGAAAATGCAAATAGCCATGATATTTTACTTGGGGACAAGCTCTGTACAGATAGCTCTCTGCTTCCTACTGTTCCTTTCCGGGATACAATGGTGGTTCTAATGGGAGCCACTTAGAGAGTATTGCTCCTTACTCCAATTCAGCTTGGTAACATGTTAAAAGGAATTTGGAATGGAATAACATGCCTGTTTCAGGGTCTAACTTAGACTTTTCTTCTGTGAGACATACAAAAGTTGCCTGTTATGAAAATTTTGTTTTATTCATATGCAGACAACTTTTGTTTTTGAGATATGATCTTTCTTTGCAGCCAAATAACCCCAACTCCGTACTACTCCTGACTCAGACACTAAAGCATTATGAGTAATTCTGTGTTCCACCAACCTCAAACCTTCATAACAATTTTTAGGTGTATAAACCAATAACTATTAAGTATGTTCTCTTCATATTGTTGGAGATGTAATTATTGAGGAATTTTCTTCTGACACTGAAACTTACTGTCTATTAAATACACTCAGATTTTCATACCCAATTCAACTTTTTTTTTCTGGGAAAATTTTAATTAAGTATTTAACTTAGCACTGCGTCCAGAAAACTCATCTATGCCAGAGTAATTATCAAAACTTCTTTTCCTCATGACAAAATTGCCTTTGTAGCTTCATATATGTCATGCTTTCTCTATTCATGGTCCATCAATTCTCTGATTAGTCCTATCTCTTGACTACTTTTTAGATTTAAATGAACATATGTGTTATATCTTTTATGTAAGTCTATTGTTATTCAGGAGCCTCTGCTACAGAAATCAAATGATCTGGGACTCCCCTCTGTATGCTTTAAATATGTTTTATTACCACTGACTATTAAAAAAGCTGCTTTGACCTGGCAGGGCAGAATAGAGATAGGCAGGGAAACTAAGCTGAATGCAGGGAGAAAGAAGGCAGAGTCAGGGAGACACCACACAGCAGCCAAAGAAGAATCATGCTGGAACCTTACTGGTAGGTCACATCCTCATAGTGATACACAGATTAATAGAAATGAGTTAATTTAAGATGTAGGATCTAGCTAGAAATACACCTGACCCATCAGCCAAATGTTGTAATTAATATAGTCTCTGTGTAATTATTCAGATCTGGGTGCCAGAAAATGAAAGAACAGTCTCTGCTTACAGATGATGCCCACTGTCTGGCATGGATCCACATAATATCTAAAATAGCTTAAAAAAAAGAGGGTTTCTAGACCCACAAAATGGGTGGCAAGCACAGCCTTTTAGTAGCCACATAATTTTTTCAGATAGGCTCTGTTCACTGTCTGCAAACAGAGTTGAGCCTTCTTTAAGAGAAGGCTTCTTGATTCCTGCTGGCATCAGGAATAGCTCTGGCTCTTTGACATGGTCCCTTCACGGAACATTTCATTGGGGTTTATGAGCAGCATGTTACAAATTGCTAAATGGAGACAATGACCTGCTGTGTCTCTAGTGCTGAGGTAGAGAGCATGGCTTGCAGAGGCAGTGAACATACTTCTGCCATATTGAACTGGGTGGAGTCAACAGGCAAAGCCACAATGTTAATCCTAGCCACACCTGCTTAGCATTAAAAAAAAAAGTACTCTCCTGGTCAGAAAATGATTACAGATGCACACCAAGACAGATTTATTTGAAAAAGATTTCTGAATAGGTCATAGTGTTGGAGAAATGTACATAGGCTTAAAAGAAATAAAATAAAAATTAAGACAGCCATAGATTAAAGTAGTAAAGATAATAAAAAATTTAAAAGTAATAGAATAAAAAGATTCCATGTAAGGATGGAAAATACACAAAGAGTCCGGATAATATATGTTATTGTGTTTTTTGTTAGTTTTTTTTACTGTAAATGAGCTAAGTACAGAGAGACATTTCAGTGAATTGACTGCTAAACTAAACCAACATGTATATTTTAAGAGTATCTTGACTTCAAAATTTGGGTCTAAGGAAATGATATTTTGGAAAAGAAATTCTGCTTCTGTTTTCACAGAAGATGAGAAACTGTGGATCCTTCCAGGCCAATGTGGTTTGATGGACCAAGACCCCACAAAAGGTCTTCATGGACCTTAAAAATAATCTATTCAAAAAAGAGAAGGAAACAGTTTGGAGAAAACAATGCCCAAATTCCCAAAATGATTATTTATATATGTTTGTTTTAATTTATAGGGTGGGCATGATATAGAGGTGAATACTTTGTATTGATATGGATCTTGGTCTATTGCTATAAAATTAATTTGAAACAATATATATATATATATAGTGTATATACATTTCTGCTCTTGTTTAAGGTATTGCGTTTGTGTAGGTCATTTGAAAAGGTAATATATAATCAAAATGACAGATTAATATATAATCATCTATAATAATCAAACTGTAGTCATGTTAGTTAGGTTTCCAAGATTTATAGAGATATATTTCAGATGGTTAGGCATACTTCAAATTTTTTCAAAGACCTACAGAATATGGCATTTAAAATGTTTTAAGATCTCAGTCTTTTCTTGATCGTAAGACATATCCTCTTCTGGTAACACCAATTACTTCAGAGAAGTTGATGGGTATTGAAGAAAGTCATTATGGAATTTGCCTTCAAGGTAACAAAGGAAGCCATTTCTCTCTGCTTCCTTTATTTACTTGATATGTGATTTTTTTTCTATTTTTTAGTTCTTTACTCTGTATATCTGTTGCCAGGCCTGCCTGACACTTACGGAAACTCTTCTTGGAATTATAAACTGAAGAAACTCTTCCTTCTATAAGTTGCCTTTGGTCATGGAATTTGATCTAGTCATAGAAGAATAACTAATACAGAGATTGGTACAAAAATGGGGCTGCTGCTTCGATGAATCTGAGCATGTTAGGCTTTATTTTATTTGCTTTTGAATGTGATACATATTGCAACACTGCCTTATAGTGATTCTCGGCTGTTAGCAGAGCTTAAGGGGCCATTCTGTTAGCAGCCTGAAACATAGTAGTGTAGGCAAAGATCATGAGGCTTCAGAAGAAAGTAAGGACTTCATTAGCAACTGAGTTGTAGGCCACTCATGTGACATTTTAATTTTGAATCTGGTGTCCTTCTGCCCTTCCTCTAAGAATTTTCAGAAGGCTGAATTGAAAAGCAATGGACTAATATCTTAGGAAGAGAAAATTTTTAAAAAGCTTAACATTGATGCTGTGGCATGGCAATTACTCCTTACCATTACTTCTAAAACTAAAAATGTCAAATGTGTAGAATAAAATTAAAAAAAAGACTTTGGAAAGAAAAAGAGAAATAAAAAGCCTACTGTTTCCCCTAAGCCCTTAGTGGACAAATGCCAGTCATGGTTAAAGCGTTTACTGAAATTAAAGAGAGGCCAACTGTTCTTCTCTGAAAAATGGAAAAGATCCCCTAACATGAAGACCCCACCCAGATAAGTTTCTAATTTGTGGAAGAGAATGTCCACAGAGACAAATCTCCTGCCTTTGAAAAACAAAAGCCCATTGCATATGTGATTGAAAGGGCCAAAAGGTCATCACAAAATGGCAGCTGAACTTTCCAGTGCTATCCTCCTGCTTTGGGGATAAGGGAGATGCAAAAGTAAAGGGGGCATGATGATTCTTTGTTTGGAGATTCAAAGAGCTACTGAGCCAAGGTAAATTCTAACAGTAGAGTTTTCATTGGAAGGCTATAAAAGGCAATAACAGAAATTTTTTGAAGTGGAGACTGGGTTGAAATAGAATCCCCAAGATGTTGGAGAAGGAGACCCCTGCAAAGGAGGATGCATATAAAAAAGCCCTAGAGAGAGATTTATGTTGCAGGCAGCAAAGGTACAGGTTTGGAAACCTTTTAGTCCATGAAAATAAATTTCTAGACATGAGCCATCGGCTTACATGATTTGGTATTTGACTTTTTAGGTTTCAGCCTTCCTTTGCTTCTATTTCCTTGCTATACCTCCATTCTTCACTACTGGAATGAATGGGAATGTATATTATCTGCCACCGTATGCTAGACCTATATAAATTTGGGGGGATCATAGTGAGCCAAAGATAAGAGATTGCCTGGAACCTCAGAAGACACTGGATTTTTGAACAGTATTAAGACTGTTGAAGACTCTAGGAACTTCCAAAGTTATACCAAATGCGTTTTGCATCATAGCATAGCCATGCACCTAAAGGAGCCAAAGGTGCAAATGAGGAAGATTAAACGTGTTGCACAGGCTCTAGGTTTTAAACACTTAGTCCTAGATGGTGGTGTAATTTGGGAAGCCATTGAACTTTTTTGAGACAGAGCCTCACTGGAGGAAGAATGTCACAGGGGTTGGATTTGAGGGTTTTTCTCATGGCTCTGCTTCTGGTTCTCCTTTGCTTTTGTTTACAGTTGAAATGTGATGTCTCAGTTTCAGCTCAGGCCTCCCGCTGCCATATTTCCTGCATAGTCATAGACATTGTTGGTCAAAATAAACTCTACCATATATAAGAGTAGAAATGTAGGCAGCATATCTATGAATAAATATAGAAAAATAATATACATTTTGCATCCCTAAAGAAAAAAGTTTGATTATGAAGAAATCTCAGTCAGTGAATCGATAGCCATAGTAACATAAGGGTCTGAGTTTGATTCTCAGAATTCAGGAAAAATATTTGGATCTAGTGACATGCACTTCTAATCTTAGAGTACAGGGAAGGCAGAGACAGAATGATTGCTGTGTCTCACTGGACAGACAGTCTTGTATACTTGATGAGTTCAAGGACAGAAAAAGATCCCATCTAAAAAAATGTAGGGAGCCTGAATTTTCTTTACTACATGGAAGCAATGTTATCACTACCCTTCACCTTTGGCCAAAGATAATTGTCTTGAATGTGCTACAGTGACTGCATTTTTCACCCATAACTCTTATCACATTTGTAAAAACGTTTCATGACATGAAACATTTATTTATTTCAGCACATGAGTTCAGAAGTTTCAGGATATAGGCACTTCTGTGTCTGGCCTATGACAAGGCAGAACATTACACAGGGAGAGCAATACTGAAGTGCAGCCAGGACCCAGATGGGGAATAAACTGGGGACAAGTGTATTCTTCAAAGATACTCCAGTGACCTACCTCTTCCAACTAGAACGCACCCTCCAATGAAATCCATCTATGGACTAATCTCCTGCTGATGTTAGAGGTATTTTGTTGTTGTTGATTTTTATTGAGCTCTACATTTTTCTCTGCTCCATTCCCTGCCTCTCCCCTCCCCTTCAACCCTTCCCCAAGATCCCCATGTTCTTAATTTACTCAGGAGATATTGTATTTTTCTACTTCCCATGTAGATTACATCTATGTATGTATGCTGAAAATGAATAAGGAAAAATGAAGAAGGAAAATGTGCTACATTTACACAATGGGATACTACACAGAAGAAAAAAATAATAACATCTTGAATTTTTCAAGCCACTGGAAAAAGCTAGAAAACATCACTCTGAGTGAGGTAGGTTATTGGTGACTATGAAAGGCACTAAAGTTCATTTGTATCTTGCCCCGGCCCTGGAGCACTTTAATCTCACCACAACTAAATAGTCAGCTAATCAGCCTTGCAGAAGAGGCAGAGAGGAAAGTTCTTTACAGGAATATCAATTCACAAGCCATTGAAGAAATCTCTACTGACATTTGTGTAACCATAGAAAGTATTGTTTTTCCCTGTTTTGGAACTCCTGAGTTACAGCAACACTCTAGTCACTGCGTTTCTGCTTTTATTTTTGAAAATATTGTTAAAATTGCTATTCTTGGCATACTTGACCCAACTTCTCTCTCTCTCTCTCTCTCTCTCTCTCTCTCTCTCTCTCTCTCTTTCTCTCTCTCTGTCTGTGTGTGTGTGTGTGTATGTGTATATGTTTGTGTGTGTGTGTCCGTGTCTGTGTGTGTGTCTGTATGAATGCTTTGACTCCTTCAGGAGTCCTTTAAGAGACGAACCCTTGCTAGAACAAGTAAGTTGCTGTAGTTGGATTTGTATAAATTCAGCATGACCCCCCTTGCCATTTTCTCTCTCAGCTTTCTGTGTGAAGATGAGGTATGGTCTGACTGCCTTCATATTGCCCAGTGAATGAGTCTCATTCTTCTGGTGCAGTGCCTACCCTATTATAACAAACTTCATCCTATGGAAGTATCAGGCAAAACAAATTGTTATCTACTCTATGTCGGTGTTTCAGAGGACCAAAATATTCTATCTCAGGAAAACAAATGGAAGGAATGTAATTACTAAAATGCTTTCTGCTTGACAAACTTAAGAGGTGAATTTGAAAGATTAATTTTAGAATCAGCCTGTGAGTAGAGCTCACTTTATATAATTTCTGGGCTTTTGTCTCTATAAAGTCATATATGTTGTCTGTTTTGATATGTATCTTGTCTGTGTTATAAGAGATAATTAATAAAATATTTTTATTGTAAATAAAGCTGTGATTTGATATTTTAACGTCTAGCTTGGTGTACCAATCGTAATATTACAAGATAAAACTAGTATCACTAAAGTGCAGTGTTAGGTTTTAGGGTCTCTGTTTCATTGTATCATTAAAAAGAATATTTGTGTTTGCAATAGAAAATATTCTTTTTTTCTTGTTTCTACTTCTATTGTTATTTATTTTTATTTTTTAGTGATTTTTATTGTGCTCTACATTTTTCTCTGCTCCCTGGACTGCCTCTCCCCTTCTCTTCAGCCCTCTCTAAGGTCCCATGCTCCAAATTTACTCAAGAGATCTTGTCTTTTTCTACTACCATGTCGATTAGATCCATGTATGTCTCTCTTAGGGTCCTCATTGTTGTCTAGGTTTCTGAGATTATGATTTGTGGGCTGGTTTTCTTAGCTTTATGTTTAAAAACAACTTTTGAGTAAGTACATGTGATAATTGTCTTTCTGGGTCTGGGCTACCTCACTCAAAATGATGTTTTCTAGCTTCATTTATTTGTCTGTAAAAATTCAAGATGTAGTTCTGTTCTTCTGCTGTGTAGTACTCTCGATTGTGTAAATGTGCCACAGTTTTCTTATCCATTCTTTGGTTGAGGTGCATTTTGGTTGCTGATGTCTTCCAATTTTTGTTTGTCTTTTCCTCCTTTTTTTTTGAAGGAATTTCTCATTTCCTCTTTATGAGTTTCAAACATTCTGATGAAACCATTATTTTAGGCCATTTTTTCTGCTTCATCTATATGTGGTTGTTCAAGTCTAGCTGTGGTAAGGTCTTTAGGTTATACTGGTGTTGTGTTTTTCTTTGTGGTGTTTCATGAGTTCTTAACTTTTCTACTCATTTCTTTCTTCTAATAGGTGTAGTTGGGACTGTCTGTAATTCTGTTGATTAATGTTCTAGGTGTCAGTGAATCCAAGGCTCAGAAGGTTGTTCCTCATGGTACAGTCAGTGCCATGGTTCTAGTTGTTCTGTGGGTCACTTCCTATTCCTCGAGGGTACTCAGTGCTCCTGGGCTTTGTTTCACTCCCTTGGAGTTTACTGTCTCAGGCCTGTTCTCTCCTAGGTTGTTGGCTCAGACCTAATTTTTAAAATGTCCCTGGTCTAGATCTGTTCCTGCAGAGGTCTCTGGCTTGGTGTTGATCCTGTAAAGGATCCTGGCTCTGGTCTACTTCTCCAGAGTTCTCAAGCTTGGCTGTGCCCAGACCCGCAGAGGACCTGACTCTGGCTTACTCCCTCAGAGGTCCCAGAGTCATGCTTGGACCCACAGAGATTTCTGGTTCCTGCCTATTCCCTTTAATATTCCAGGCCAATGCCTGGACTCACTATGGTCCTGGATCAGGCCTACTCCCTCTAAAGTCTAAGACTCACACCTGGACCCACAGAGATCTCTGGTACCTGCCTACTCCCTTGGAGATCCCAGATTCATGCCCAGCCTTTCAGGAAAACTACAACCCAAGAAATTCACCTACATCCATGAAAACACAGACAATAGATGATCTCACAGCAACAAATCACAAAGAAGGGAAAAACCTACTCAATAGCATTACCAACGATGAAAACTAAAATAACAGGAACTAGCAATAACTGGTTATTAATATCCCTTAATATAAATGGACTCAACTCACCTATAAAAGGAACCAGGCTAACAGATTGGATAGGAAAACAGAATCCACCCTTCTGCTGCACACAAGAAACACACCTCAACCTCAAAGACAGACTTTGCCTCAGGGTAAAAGATTGGGAAAAATTTTTCAATCCTTTGACCTTAGAAATAAACTGGTGTAGCTATTCTAGTATCTAAAAAAATAGACTTAAACTAAAATTAATCAAACGAGACAAAAAATAGAATTTCATATTAGTCACAGGAAAAATCCATCAAGATGAAATATCAATATTGAACATCCATGCCCCAAATACAAGGTCACCCTCATATGTAAAAGAAACACTACTAAACATTTGAATGCATTGGCACAGGAGACCACATCCTAAATATAACCCAATTAGCACAAACACTGATAGAAATAATTAATAAATGGGACCTTCTGTAACTGAGAAGCTTCTGTAAAGCAAAGGACTTGGTCAACAAGAGAAAACAGCAGCCTACACAATGGGAAAAGATCTTCACCAATCCCACATCTGACAGAGGACTGATCTCCAAAATACATAAAGAACTTAAGAAATTGTTTGTCAAAAGACCAAATAAACCAATAAAAAATAGCGTACAGACCTAAACAGAGAACTCTCAACTGATGGATGTAAAATGACTGAAACACACCTAAAAAAATGTTTTCAACATCCTTAATCAACAGAGAAATGCAAATCATAGCAACTCTGAGATTCCATCTTAAACTTTCAGAATGGCTAAGATCAAAAACATGATGACAACTTATGCTGGAGAGCATGTGGGGTAAAGGAAACACTCCTCTATTGCTGGTGTGAGAGCAAACTGGTACAGCTCCTTTGGATATCAATATAACGATTTCTCAGAAAATTAGGAAAAAACCTACCACAAGACTCAGTAATACTAATTTGTGTATATGCACAAAGGATGCCCAATCATACCACAAGGGCATGTGCTCAACTTGCACATTTTGAATTAGCATTTTTAAAAGTCAAAGATTCCATTAATGTTTGTCTAACTTTTGAATCTGATATTATTCTATTTACAATTGAAGTCAATCCTTTCAAAAAATCCGTGAAGGCTCCTTTTGAGCCTTGAATAATTTAAGTAAATAACTCAGTTTCTTTCATGATTCTTCAACCCTGTCACAAGCATTAAAAGCTGCTATAGACCACAGAGCTGAGCATGTGTGATCATCAAATCAAAACTGTCTTTGCAAATCTGTATTTTGACCTTCACTGAGAATGTGATCTTTGGAAAAATTAATTCCTCTAGCCCTATTTCATGTTTCTATGACCCTAGCCTTCTCTTTCCACCATGTTTTCTTTGATAACTGATGTCTAACATCCAATATAGTTAAGGCTAAATCTTTCCAGTCTTGGAAAAATTGTGTCTCAAATTGACTACGAATTTGTCACCTGCTCTACATGAGGTGATTGCATACCATGTGGAATGACTGCCTCCTTGAATCTTCTCAAATCTAACATTTCAACAGGATTCTGGTTAACTTCTGCATAGATGTGGAGGTAACTTACATCTCGTGGTCATTCTGACAAGGTAACTGGATAGATTAAAGCTGATAGTCTCAAAACCTTGAGCTGCTCCTCTTGAATTTCATCATGCAATACTGAGGTAAGTTCTGATCAAAATTCCTCTGTCTCTGTGTGGATACTTTTCTTAGTTTCATTGGTATGTCTTTTAAGGCTTGTATCTTATCAGTCAATTCCTCATATTTCTTACAAATATCAAATCACTTTTTTAAGGATAAAATCTGAATTGCCAAATTGATAATAATTATATCTGCATTATGTCAAACCCAGTTAATTTGGTTATCCCTTCATTTACTTTTTCCATTTCCAACTCTCTATTATGGAACAATACAGAGTCCTAAATCCCTGCATTATAATATTCCCAATTCTTAATGTGATAAAAATATATTATATAGAATTTCATATTACAATTATCATATATAAAATTTATAATATAGTAAATGCATAATATAGCAATATAACATTTGCATATGATATATAACATATAATATATCATGCATACAAATATTATATATAAATACATTAACAAACACAAAAATAAATACATTTTATGTATAAATATTGTATATATAAAACCAAGATTCTTCCTTAATATTTCCCAGGTGTCTCACTAGATCTGATAGCTATTCACTTTTTCCTCAGAAGATACTATGGCTATGTCTGGTCATGGTGGCTGGGGGGTAGCCCGCTTCAGGAGCTGTGCTTGGTGGGGTGGGGGGTGTCAAGGCTGTCAGACTAAGTAAG